GGGTTGTAAATGCTGCAGCAAGAAGGAGGCTGGAGGCAGTGGGGATGTTGTGTCTAAGGACAATGAGTGGTGAAAATATTTTGCAGAGAATTCGTTGTGTGGAAATTAGGAGGAGGTTGGTGAGGTGGTTTGGCCATTTAGAGAGGATGGAACAAAACAGGTTGACTAGAAGGGTGTATAAATCTGTAGTGGAGGGGAGGAGAGGTAAGGGTCGTCCTGGGAAAGGATGGAGGGAGGGGGTAAAAGAGGTTTCGTGTGCAAGGGGCTTGGACATGCAGCAGGCATGTGTGAGCGTGTTAGATAGGAGTGAATGGACACAAATGATTTTGGGACCTGACAAGCTGTTGGAGTGTGAACAGGGTAATATTTTGTGAAGGGATTCAGGGAAACCGGTTAGCCAGATTTGAGTCCTGGAGGTTGGAAGTACAATACATACACTCTAAAGGAGGGGTTTGGGATATTGGCTGTTTGGAGTAACATCTAAACTGTCGTATCTGGGTGTCTCTGATAAGACGGTGATTATGTGTAAATGATGGTGAAAGTGTTTCTTTTTTGGGTCACCCTGCCTCAGTGGGAGACAGCCGACATGTTGAAAAAAAAAATTATATTCAACATAATAATAATACTAAGAGGGCTCCTACATATACAGAATTTTAAATATCATACAGATGTACAACTTTTGCTTCTACTGAGCAATTTATTAAATAAAATAAATAAATTTGCCCCTAATTTATTTTATTAAATAAATTAAGAGGCCAAAAATTATTAGATAATTGAATTTGATGACATGTTCCCCAAGAGAGAGTGAAAATCTGATCCTAGATTAAAAACTAAGACTGCAGTTTATTCCAGAATTATTGCATTTCTATCAGATAACAACTCGGCAAAACCCACCCAACCCACCAAAATATGTAATCACAAATGCACAAACCTCAACAAATATGGAGACTTCTTTCTGTATTTTCTTGCCGGGTAATGAAGCCTGCACAATGACCACGACTTCCCCAAGCTGGATGGGCACTATAGGCAAATACAAGGTGTGGGTCTCGCCGGCTTCCACTAACACTGCGTGTTCATGTTCTCCACTCACCATCCTTCGCTCCATGTGACCATCAGGGGGCTGTGATAATGAATATCATTATGGCAAAAGATATAACTATTGTAAGAGGCCACAGTATTATTGTACTTTTAATAATCAAAACTGTAATTCTTCTCTTCCAAAGTTACTGAAGCCATATAAGATGAACTAATAGAATATTCAATTTTCTTATAATAACTGTAACTCACCCAATGACCATATGTACAGTTATTACACTGATATTGCCTTATTAATCTTAAGTTAGTCTTAAGTTTGCCCAAAATGCTCTGCATATAAAGGGGCTTTTGGCATGTACAACAAATTGTTATACTCCTTTGTACAAACATGTATCATGCTAAAATAAAAATTATTATAATTATAGAAAACAAATTTTTGAGTTACCATAACATGAAAGGCCTTAGAACTTGGACCTATCCTCAAGCATGCAAAGTATATATAAAATAAGTTTATGGTATTGATTGGTACATTCCACTTACAAAATTTAGATAGAGATGTAATTTAAACATTTAAATTACATCTCTATCTAAATCCAACAATTAAAACCAATGTGTGACTGAATGTTTTAACAATAAAGAAATGTTCTACTCACAGTAACTTGGTCGAATCTCTGGACATCGACAAATTTATAAGCTGGGTTATTGGCTAAGACAATGATGGCATTGACAGGAAAACGGTGGTGGTTGACTGCAGTTACTCGCACCCCAACCTGTAAATGAATAACTTGAAAGATCGTATCTAGGCAAAGCAAGTATTATTGATGCCTTTCCTCTGGTACCTTGGTTTGTCTAAAAAATAATTATGTTAAAGTTCTGATGTGTCACCTTGCCATTCTCAAATCTTTTTTTGTGTAGGGACCTGCAATCTCACTATGAACATAGCCAACATTCTCTCACATCGAATATTCACCTTTTGTGGCACCAAAAGTCTATCGTGTACATTTGCACTGTCTCACTGTATGCTTTTTTAGTCTATTATAATCTGTTCACTGCACTCTCAAGAGACCAATAGAGAGCATTTTCTTTTCTTGGACTCTTAGGTGTCGACCTTCATCTTTTATTTGGATATGTGAAGAATTTTCTACTATTCAAGAATTCTTTATAGAGCTGATCCTTCACTTTCCATCTGTGTGATCATTCTATGATTCATCCTGATTGCTCCTTTTAAGGCTGGATTGTCTCTTAACAGGGATGGTTCTCTTAACCCTTAAACTGTCCAAACAAATTTGCATTCACATACGTAGTGCTCCAAAAGTAAATCTACATTATTTTACATATTTTCAAATATAACAAAAAAGAAGTACATCAAAGTTTATTTACAAGTTTTCAAATGTAAAAAAAAAGAAAGATCTATGTTTTTTTACATACTTTCAAATGTTGAAAAAACGTAGATCTACGTTTGGACAGTTTAAGGGTTAAAGTGCTTGGTGGTGGATGGTTGCTCCTTTCTATCATGCGTTGTTTATGGACACCCCAAAGTAGTGCATTTGGAAGACCTTATCTCACCTGGGGGTTTGATGGTTGCATGGCATGGTCTCTGGTGGTCTACTGCCCTGGAGGCTTCCGTATACTTCTTCCATGGGGCTTAAGGGGCCTCGTGTTATTCTAGGATCTTCAACTCTTCTAGGCCCATGGTCTGGGTCATCATCTGTTGTAAGCCACATTGCCTGTAGCCACCACCTCATAGATTAGGAAGACTGAGGAGCAATTGGATTTGATCCAAGGAAAGAGAGGTTAGGTTCAATTCCTTTGATGAAGAACCCCTTGCTGACATCTAGGAATTTCACTGAAGGAGCTCTACTGTTAAACAAGCCGTTAATGGGCCGGCAGCCTTTCGCTTTGATTTACTAGTCTATTGGGATCACGGATATCCATGTGTTTTGTGTGGAAATTTGAGGCCTTTCCCTCCATCTTCTAGGGGCTCTGTTTCAGCCTCTTGTCCACCCAGACTAGGCTATTCTTCCCTGGCTCAAGGGAGGTTCATTGATGCTGGTGAGGGGCTCTTGATCTAGGGTATTGGATCTGTACTCCACTTCCCTGAATTAAGCCTGAATACCTTCCATCCACCCTCCCCCCTTACAGGCGCTGTATAATCCTATGGGTTTAGCGCTTCCCCATGATTATAATAATAATATTCTTCCCTGGGACAGAGAAAGTCTACCCGAGTCTTTGGCTTTGCTCTGGGGCATGTTAGGGCTCTCAGGGTTCCATCTAACTCCCTATTGCAGTGTCGGAATAAAATCCACCAATGGGTAGGGGACTGTGCATCACCTGCCTTAACGAGTGGCCCTTACCATTAATATCCCCCTTTTAGTTGTTCTGAAGGGATCAGATTCAGATTCACAAGGAGTCCTTTTAACTGTTATCCATGATTCTTCTTCACACTACAGTTTATCATATAACTAGTAATGTTTTGTTTCTCCTTTATCCGATTTTTTTTTGTCAGATGTCTTCCAGGCTCTGGGAAGTGCCTAATGGCTTCCCAAGAGTTTCCACACTTGAGACATGCCATATTTAACTTTTAATTTCATTGTAGCTGATATCACATCTTTTACACAGTCCAGTCTCTCCAGGTTGTGGTTTGGTCACTCACTCTAGAAGCAATGGTTCAATAACATCACTCAGCATTGATGCTTCTGTGATGTTCTTGTAGCACATGTGTCCCGTTTGACCTCGCCAGTCTTTCTCTCTCCATTCCTTTAAAAGCAGCTCTGTTTCTTCCTTGGAGTCAAAGTCTCTCTAAGCAGTGAATGAGGAACGATCCATACCCCAGAAATTCTGGTTTCGTTGCTCCACTCCCTCCGCTTAGATCTAGATGCCAGTGTCAGGTCACAAAACATCCATTAATTCTGATGACATTCTTGGGATACCAATGCTCTAAGATACTTGGACTATGATATGTTTTGCTCTCCCAGATGTTAAGCCACCTCTCTGGGGTGGCTTAACATCTGGGTGGCTTAACTTATTATCTGGTGGCTTTCCTTATTATTGGTTAATTTTATGTAATTGCAACTTAATATATATTAATCTAACCTATCCAAGACACATTGCAGATCGTGTGTAAATAAAGGAACATCAGTTCGGAAGAAATTTGAATGTTCTAATTAGAGAACTGGTTGTGAGACAAGAGAGATGCTTTCAGCTTCCTCAGCTCTCTGCAAGTTCATGCCTCTTCCTCTCCTGCAGGCACTCCAGGTGGCTCTGCAGTGATATTTTGTCCCTATGGCCTTTGCTTTTCAATTTCAGTGACTTTTTCCACCTACGTCTCTTTCACTTGCAGGACTGACAGCTTCCCTGTCCCTGAAAGGAACTCAGGTGGCAGCGGCAACCGATATCCTCAATTTCGCAGTCTCTTCCCCCCTCCCTAGTCAGTACAAGCTCCCTGCGATGTCCTAACATTAAGTTTATGTTGTGCTAACATATGTGAAAACACAAAAATGACAAAAACTGACTGTGAAAATCCACCAGTTCATAGAAATCACCGACAAAAAATAGAGCACTTCCCACATCAGCTGTGCTGCCAGACGAACAAGAAGATGCCTACCATTAAAAATTACTTCTTTACCTTAATATGGTCCTGACAACAATTATTATATCTCATCAGGCAAAGTGTATAGAAATCAATGCTAGTCATAAGTGCATTCTGTATTTTATGAGTAAGATATTAATAGCAGTGTTGTGACTTGTACAGTCAAGTTTATTCTTTTACCGAACATTTTAGTGATTAAAATTTTCTGTTGCACTGCAAAGAACAATTTTAATGTCACATATTAGTCTTAACAAGAAGTATAAAAGCATTTACAGTTCTCACCTGCTCCCACACACCCACTCTGGTTGGGGCTTCTACTGACAGCCAGAACCCCACAGAACCCTTCCACTCGACAGGTTCTGGCAAGATAGTCATGCCATGTTCTGGGTGGAGGCTGAAGGCAGAGAGTGCCAGGTGGACTGGCCCGAATGGGAGAGGAACTGTGATGGTGGTGCTGCCAGAATCACCAACCATGACCTCCTGCCATACCCATGGTGTGTCATAATGGCGCCTCAGTCTGCTGGCACGGTGCTGGCGGTACCAGGCCAGATTTCTGCTGCGGCTCCTCGTACACCACCTACGAGAAACCAAAAACTCTTACCAACTGAAGAGCTAGTATAGAATGAATTTTAAATCTACATATAGACTATAACATAGTGATTTTGTGACTGAATTCATGTCTGCATAAATAACTCATGTAACTGCAGCTGGATTATAAACAAGTACAGAGTTGAGTAGCACGCTTCAATAACCTTTAAACTGAACTGGTTACTACACCCTTCACACTTAAATGCATCCATGTATCAAAAATTGACACTTTAATTGTAAGTGATTCTTTATCATCCATAAATGCTCTTAACTCCTTAAGTATCAATTGTAGCACATTTGCGTCAGAACCTAGACACAGGTATAGTAGGATCGTGGACGGTGGAGTCAAAGTGTACCTCCTGTGGATCCATCTCGCATTGGTCTTCAAATGCTTAATAGAACTGATGAAATGGCAAAGTCCATATGCCTTTAGAGATGGAGTAGATTACAATCTTGGTCTGTCAGTTAGCAGTTTGAGAACAATAACACAAAAAGATCTTCAGGTGAGTTTCATTGACTGGAGACTGAGGGAGACTGACACCAGTCAGTCCATCTATCATTTTATAATGCAGGAGCAACATGTCTATGGTACATCCAGCAAAATAAGAAGACTATTGGATGTCACTACTGCCCCGCTCCGACTGGGTTACCTGGAGTTGCCTGGAGAGGGTTTCGGGGGTCAACATCCCGTGGCAATTCTGAGACCAGGCCTCATGGTGGATCAGGGTCTGATCAACCAGGCTGTTACTGCTGGCCGCACGCAAGCTGATGTACGAAAACACTGCCCGGTTGGTCAGGTACTGACTTTAGGTGCCTGTCCAGTGCCTTCTTGAAGACAGCCAGGGGTCTATTGGTAATCCCCCTTATGTATGCTTGGAGGCAATTGAACAGTTTTGGGCCCCAGACCCTTATTGTATTGTCTCTCTGTGTACTCATGGCACCCCTGCTTTTCATCGGGGATATGTTGCATCTCCTGCCGAGTCTTTTGCTTTCACATGGAGTGATTTTTGTGTGCAAGTTTGGTACCAATCCCTCCAGGACCTTCCAATTGTATATTATCATGTATCTCTCTCGCTTGCGTTCGAGGGAATACAGATCAAGGACCTTCAACCGTTCCCAGTAGTTTAGGTGCCTTATCGCACTTGTGTGTGCCGTGAAAGTTCTTTGTACACTCTCCAGGTCTACAATGTCGCCAGTCTTGAAGGGGGCCGTTAGTGTACAGCAGTATTCAAGCCTAGAGAGCACAAACGATTTGAAAAGAATCATCATGGGCTTGGCATCCCTAGTTTTGCAGGTTCTAATTATCCATCCTATCATTTTCCTAGCAGATGAGGTAGATACATTGTTGTGGTCTTTGAAGGCGAGATTCTCTGATATTATTACTCCCAAGTCCTTCACATTTGTGGAAAATACTGTATATTTTCCGAAAATACAGTGTTTTTTGTATGTAAATTGATGGAATATATTGTAGGTAATAAAAATTAATTTGTAAATAAATAAAGAACCAGCGAAATTGGTGAGCGTCGCTGGGAGAGTCACCATTGTTTTTGAACTGACCAAGACAAATGTTAGTGAAAATCGGAAGAATTTTTGTTGCTCTAGAGGTTATATTGGGCTTAAAACTCTCAATTAGGAGCTGAAATTGTTGGAATTGCAGTCCTGCAGAACGTGAGAATTAGGCAACTGGACAGAACTCCATAATTAGATGGAAACAGGATATTACCACAGCTGAGTGACGTCTATTTATGTTGAAATTCTGGCCAGTATTTTCTTCATATTCTAGGCAGGGGGTTTTGTGTATGACACACCGTAATCTCCAGACTAATTGGTGAGTGGTATTAAGAAAAATTCTCCTTCAATGTATATGTATTATTTTTTTAAATTTAATATACAGTCCACATATTTATATTAATGTCTTACCAGAATTCCTGGTGATGTATATTTCATTTGAAATTAATCTAGGTCCAGAGTGACTTGTGGAGATATAGATTGTAGTAGGTATCGAAGGGGGACATTTTTTGCGACCTAGGTGTCTTAAAATTCCTACTTGTCTCTGTAACCTTGATAAAGAATACTAGTATGTATCTAATGAGATTCATCCAAGTAAATTTAATTTTCCATAACATTACTTTTCCACTCTATTGTAAGGTTAGAATTTGTGGTATACCCGAACACATTTTTAATTTCAAGTTTTCCATATCTGAGTATCTGAAATTTTTCCTCGTTGAACTTCATATTGTTTTGAGTGGCCCATTCGAAGATTTGGTTGATGTTCGCTTGGAGTCTGGCAGTGTCTTCGATGGAGGTCACTGCCATGGTGATCCGGGTGACATCCGCAAACGAAGACACGGAGCTATGGCTTTCATCTCTATGTCAGAAATGAGGAACAGAATGGGAGCGAGTACTGTGCCTTGTGGAACAGAGCTTTTTATCGTGGCTGCCTGGGACTTTACTCTGTTTACTATTACTCTTTGTGTTCTATTTGTCAGGAAGTTGTAGATCCATCTACCAACTTTTCTCGTTATTCCTTTATCCCACATTTTGTATGCTATTACAACATGGTCACACTTGTCGAAAGCTTTTGCAAAGTCTGTGTATACTACATCTGTATTTTATCCTCTACAGCATCCAGGACCTTGTCATAGTGGTCCAGTAGCTGGGACAGGCAGGAGCGACCTGCTCTAAACCCGTGTTGCCCTGGGTTGTGTAGCTGATGGGTATCTAGGTGGTTGGCTATCTTGCTTTTTAGAACCCCCTCAAAGATTTTTATGATATTGTATGTTGTAGTTCGTGTTTGATAGGGCGCGTAGAGCCCTGTCAGTTAGCGAAACCAGTCAGAGGATACATTGTTATCAACGAATCCGTTTGAATCCGGTCGTTGGATGAATCCGGGCAGATCCGGATTAGGCTCAGTACACACACACTCACCTGTGTACTCCCACATCATAACTTCATCACTTTGAACCTTTTATCCATTGTTGACAGGAATATAATTGAATCATTGTTTTCACAAAAAGCATTTTTGAATATATGAATATATCTTTTGTCTTATATAAATTAGATTAACTTATAATTAATAATCTACTGTACAACTATGATATAATTAATATTCTACTGTACAACTATGATATACTCATTAGTGTTAAGTAAACCATACCCCCGGCCGGGATTGAACCCGCGGTCATAGAGTCTCAAAACTCCAGCCCGTCGCGCTAGCCACTAGACCAGCCAGCCACAATAAGATTCATCCAACTAGTTGGATGAATCTTATTGTGGCTGGCTGGTCTAGTGGCTAGCGCGACGGGCTGGAGTTTTGAGACTCTATGACCGCGGGTTCAATCCCGGCCGGGGGTATGGTTTATTTGCAATCGTGTCATTACGATTTCTTAAGTCGAGTAGTGTTAAGTAGTCTGTAAGCCAATAATGTTAAGTTGGCCCATAATGCCTAGGCATAATAGAGGCTCTCTTTGTATTGCAACCCATTATTGTAAATACAAAATCTCAATGTACTATTTGCAAAGACATAAATAAACAAACAAATAAACTTTGCCAGACAGACAAATGTCACATCTTTCGTCATTACGTACTGGAATGAGATAAAATTAATGAATTCGGTAACAACTCACTCAGAAATGTTAAAGTATTTTATCCACAGTGGTATATTACCAACCATTCTGGAAAAATACCCTGGCTCTGCCCACTGTAAACTGTAAACAAGGCATCACCACTTATTTTTTTTTTTTATTTCCAGCATACCTTGCTAAAATATAAGGTAATGTTTTTGTATTTTGTGTGTGTGACCTAATTCACGTCTGCACAAATAATTCATTACGATTGTAACTGGATATAAACATGTATATAGTTCATTACCACTGTAACTTGTTTAGTTATCAGAACTCTGCAGCTCAGTCCCTGGGCCCATTATGTGCCTCTGTAACCCCTCAAGGGAGGTTCCTTGATGCTAGTGAGGGGCTCTTGATCTAGGGAATTGGATCTGTGCTCCAGTTCCCTGAATTAGGCCTGAATATCTTCCACATCCCCCCCCCCCACAGGCGCTGGATAATTCTACGGGTTTAGCGCTTCCCCCTTAATAATAATAATAATAATAATAATAATAATAATTATTATAATCTAATTGTGAGTTGGTTAGAACACTATTCAATAAAAATTCTGTCATTAGCGAGGAGTTATACCGTGGGTTAAAATCTTGGCTCCGGCAGGTAGAAAGACCATATATTTAGAATGAATTTTGATGCCAGTGAAAAAACAAACATCAATTTATTGTTGTAATGCTTAGGCAAATTCACTTATCATAATACCTGAAAAAAACATAAAACATTATAAGTGGAGGCTTTGGTGCCCAAAGATCTCGCTTTACACGGCGAGGGCCTGGGTTCGATTCTCAGCCAGAGTAGAAATATTGGGCGTGTTTCTTTACACCTGTTGTCTATGTTACCCATCAGTAAAATGGGTACCTGGGTGTTGTTAGTCGACTGGTGTGGGTCGCATCCTGGGACACTGACCTATGATATAATATAATATAATCCTTGGTGTTAAGTAGTCTGTAAGCCAATAATGTTAAGTTGGCCCATAATGCCTAAGCATAACAGAGGCTCTCTTTGCACTGCAACCCACTATTGTAAATACAAAATCTCAATGTACTGTTTGCAAAGACATAGAATAAATATATAAAACAAATGCTGAGCATAACAAGGGACTTTCTATATAGTAGTATGTCAGCTAGGACTGTATACCATGTACATGTACTTGTAGTAAAATAAGGATATTGTTATAGACGGCGTATAGCCAAGTGAGTGGTGGGAATGAGTGTAATAGGAACAAATACAGAACAAACTTTTGAGACAACGTCTGTCTGTGTAACAGACTGACCGATACAGTAGTAGTGGACAGCGAAGAGGCAGGGCCAGGAGCTGAGACTCGACACCTGTAACCACATGTAGGTCAGTAAACACATATATACAGACGCAGACACACACAGGCGGGGCCAGGAGCTGAGTCTTGACCCCTGCAACCACAAATAGGTGAGTACAAATAGGTGATGAGTACACACACACACACACACACACACACAGAGTATAGGCTACGTGGCCAAAGACTGCAAACCTCACTCAAGGAGAAAGATCTTGGGGTGAGTTTAACACCGAGCATGTCTCCGGAAGCACACATCAATCAGATAACTGCTGCAGCATATGGGCGCCTGGCAAACCTGAGAACAGCATTCCGATACCTTAGTAAGGAATCATTCAAGACACTGTACACCGTGTATGTCAGGCCCATACTGGAGTATGCAGCACCTGTTTGGAACCCGCACTCGATAAAGCACGTCAAGAAACTAGAGAAAGTACAAAGGTTTGCGACAAGGTTAGTTCCAGAGCTAAGGGGAATGTCCTATGAAGAAAGATTAAGGGAAATCGGCCTGACGACACTGGAGGACAGGAGGGTCAGGGAGACATGATAACGACATATAAAATACTGCGTGGAATAGACAAGGTGGACAAAGACAGGATGTTCCAGGGAGGGACACAGAAACAAGAGGCCACAATTGGAAGTTGAAGACACAAATGAGTCAGAGAGATAGTAGGAAGTATTTCTTCAGTTCATAGAGTTGTAAGGCAGTGGAATAGCCTAGAAAATGACGTAGTGGAGGCAGGAACCATACACAGTTTTAAGACGAGGTTTGATAAAGCTCATGGAGCGGGGAGAGAGAGGGCCCAGTAGCAACCGGTGAAGAGGCGGGGCCAGGAGCTAAGACTCGACCCCTGCAACCACAAATAGGTGAGTACACACACACACACACACACACACACACACACACACACACACACACACACACACACAAAAGACAAAGTGTCTATCGACAAGTGCCTTTAATAACTACTAATACACACATTTATCATCATGCTGGCCGTCTTCCAGGTTGGATGACCCATAAAAGGAAACACATGCGCCATGATTTCTTTAACAGTTGTCTTTCCAGTAGGGTCTGAACCTCAAAATTCAAGTGACCCTCAGAACCGTAACATCACCACCAATCTTGCAGACAGCAGGCACTAGGCTTCTCTCCTCTAGGACTGAAAGCCAGCTAACTAGTTTCCCCGAACCCCTTCAGGCCCGGTGGCCTGGTGGCTAAAGCTCCCGCTTCACACACGGAGGGCCCGGGTTCGATTCCCGGCGGGTGGAAACATTCGACACGTTTCCTTACACCTGTTGTCCTGTTCACCTAGCAGCAAATAGGTACCTGGGTGTTAGTCGACTGGTGTGGGTCGCATCCTGGGGGACAAGATTAAGGACCCCAATGGAAATAAGTTAGACAGTCCTCGATGACGCACTGACTTTCTTGGGTTATCCTGGGTGGCTAACCCTCCGGGGTTAAAAATCCGAACGAAATCTTATCTCTAGCACTCCACCATTACATCACAGCCTAAGAACCACTTGTCTCCACTCCAATTTAACACACTTGTTGGATACTCTTAAAAACCTTCGTCCCCCTCCCTCCAGCCCTTCCTAGGATGCTCCCTTAACTTGCCTTCCTTCCACTCCATACTTACACACCCTCTCCATCGTCATATTCTGCTCTATACTTTCTAACCGACTAAACCATCTCAACAGTCCCCAATCTACAAAATCAGCATAAAAGGAGCCGAGTGAATACTTACATCCTTGCTCGTCGACGCGATCGAGACAGTCGTACTTGCCATCGCAGCGAGCCACGGCATTGTAGCAGCCACCCAGCAGGCACTGACCTCGACCAGTGCCAACTCCACACGCTCGACCCAGCGTTGGCACTAGACCATCAGACAATACCAGTAAGTCTGCATACCTGTCCACAACAAGAGACAATTTTGGTTAGTCTTACACAAAAACTCTCTCTCTCTCTCTCTCACTCACACTGTGGAAGCATGGGAACGTTGGAAGAAACCAGACTCTGAAAGAGGAGACTGCGCAGACATGAGGCAATTACTGAATTAAGTGCAGTGGAAAAGGGAACTAAAACTGAAGACACCAAATGAAATGAAAAAGCATGTAGACGGAAAGTGCCAGGAAGCAGAGAGGCAGAGAGGGCAAAGCCTAAAAGTGCAAGAGCATGGAAAAAGTGGTGATAGAATACATAGGAAAACCAAAGCAAGGAGAAGAACCAGAAACGAACATGTAATGGTAAGAAAAGAAGTTGAGTGACAGTTTGAGAATGATACAGTATCGAGAGCCAAGTCCTGACTAAATCTGCTCTACAGCAACATCAGGAGGAAAACAACAGGTTAAAGAAGAGAGCTCGCAAGAAATGACCAAGAAATCTGTGCAAAGCTGAAGAAAAGATTTAAGGAGGGCACTCTTGAAGGAAATAAGGACATTACTAGACAGCCAAAGAGGAAGCATGCACTACTAAATACTGGAAACTATACACACAATAGCAGAAGAGGTGAGGAAACTACTGTATGAGTTAGAAACCTCTAAGGCGATGGTATCACATGATATTTCTCCATGAATCCTGAGAGAGGAAGCAGAAGCACTGTGCGAGCCACTAGTTACAATCTTCAACAAATCAATGGAAACAAGGCAACTGCCAGAGGTGTGGAAAACAGCAGATGTAGTCTCAATATTTAAGAAGGGAACAGACAGGTAGCATTAAACTACAGACTAGTGACACTAACATGCATGATATGAAAAGTCAGGGAGAAGATTATTAGGAGAAAAGTGGTGTAGCACCTGGAAAAGAATAGGTTCATAAATAACAACAAGCACGGCCTAAGAGAATAAAATTTTATCTCACAAGCCGCTTACGATAAGGTAATAGCAGTGAGACAGAAGAGAGAGGGACGAGTGAATTGCATATTTTTGGACTATAAAAAGGCTTTTGACATAGTACTGGAGGGCCCCGCTACACAGCAGGCTAAGTTCCTGGCTGCCGCTGTAAAGCCAAAATTACTGTAAAGTGAAACAGCCTTTTTTCACTTTCAAATGCATATAAAAGCCTAATAACATATTTGCATTATCGTATATTAAGTAAACAATAGAGCTAGGCCTAAAAAATGCATATAAAGAACAGTAAATAAACCATTCAAATCATTATGAAGCTGTGTGTAGTCTGTGGTCAGTCAAACAAACGGGCTTCCACATGCATAAATTGTCATTTCTGTGGAAATTGGTGTCACGCCCCTTGTGCAGATATCCAAGAACTAGCTACAAGCAGTATTAAAACAGGGAAGTGTTTTTGGGTATGCCCAAATGAGATAAATCTGTGGACTAAAATCACAAGGGTATTAAAAGAGGTCAACATCAAAGCTGCTTTCATAGAAAACCTGGAAGCTTTCTACAACAGATGGGAACATAAAAAGTCCGGGCTGAATGGTACTGCCCTTGATACTGGCCATGTAGTCAGAAACTGTAAGGCTGGAGATGATGTCCTGGTAGTCAGTAAATGGGGGGCTGATAGTGCTGTCCTGGGAGACAGTAATGGGGAAGCTGGAGGTGCTGTCCTGGGAGACAGTAATGGTGAAGCTGGAGGTGCTGTCCTGGGAGACAGTAATGGTGAAGCTGGAGATGCTGTCCTGGGAGACAGTAATGGGGAAGCTGGAGATGCTGTCCTGGGAGACAGTAATGGTGAAGCTGGAGATTTGTCCAGGTAGTCGGGAATTATACGCAGGAAGGAATAACATATGAATGACCGCATAGGGGACAGGAGCCATAGTAGGGAAACAAGTGTAGTCAAAGATAAGATAAAACCAATATTGCAAACTAGAAATACCGCAGGAAATAGCAAACAAGAGGACTCCACTAGCAATAGTGAGGATATATTACCAAAAACAAATGGTGGGAGCTCCATTGTTGGTGCTAGGGAGGATAGAAGTAAGACAGGGAAAAACATGCACCAACAGGGAATACAGTCACAGAAACCCAAGGCAAACGGAAACCAAGCCTGTGCACATACTATGCACTCGGTATCTGCTGGCATGGGAAATCTGGAAAAAAAAGATGGGACGTGCAACTATGACCACCCTAGGAAATGCCATGCCCATATGACAACAGGAAAATGCAAACTCCCTTCCTGTAAGCTTTTTCACCCTGAACTGTGTACCTCTTCAGTACGGGAAAAGGGACTGTGCTATAACTTAAATTGCCAGGCATACCATCTAAAGGGGACAAAAAGATACAAAACATCCAGGCCATGGGAAAACCTGGGTAGCCACAGCCACTCAAGAGGGAGAGGTTTTTTAGTGCCAGGAAGGAAAAAAAACTGGCAGGAAATGGCAGAAATCGTACACCAAATCCAGTCATTCCTGGAGTGGAACCACAGTCGATGGCCTCCACTCCAAACCAACAGATACAGATACTAATGCCGGAAAAAAAATCCCCCCCCAGTACCAACAATACCACCAGTCCGATAACATTCTTCTTTGCAAAATTACAGGTCTAAAGCCAGCAACAAACAATAAAATACCTTTCATCCGTGGACTGCTTGCAGAGGCAAAGGCAATGTTTTGCGGCTTTCACTGAGACCCACATAAAGGATCACTTGGACAACGAAATATGGATCCCAGGTTACAACCTATACAGATGTGACAGAGTGAACAGGCAAAAGGGGGGGGTTGGCCTGTACATTGCAGAGTCACTTGTTTGCACAGAACTGCTAAATGCCTCAAATGATGTAGTGGAAGTTTTAGCAGTAAAGGTCGAGAACCAAAACCTAGTCATTGTGATAGTCTACAAGCCTCCGGATGCAACATCCAGCAATTCCAGGAACAGCTGTTAAAAATTGACCACTGTCTGGAAAACCTTCCAGCTCCTGCACCCAACATCTTGCTCCTGGGGGATTTCAACTTAAGGCACCTAAAATGGAGGAATATAGCAAATAATATTGTTGCAGAAATAACACCAGGAGGCAGCTCTGATGAAAACTCACACTCACGCGAGCTTTTAAATCTCTGCACAAAATTCAATTTAAACCAGCAAATAATAGAGCCTACTAGACTGGAGATACACTAGACCTCATCTTCACTAACAATGATGATCTGATAAGAAATATCCACCATATCAAAAACAATATACTCAGATCACAACATAATTGAGGTTCAGTCATGTATGCGCGGAGCCCCAGACCGACATAATGAGATTAGTCACGAGGAGCATTCACCAAATTCAACTTCAATAACAAAAACATAAAGTGGACCAAGTAAACCAAGTCCTAACCGATATAAGCTGGGAAGATATACTAAGCAACACAGACCCCAACTTATGCCTAGAACAGATTAACTCGGTAGCACTCGATATATGCACAAGGCTTATTCCTCTAAGAAAAAGGAGGAGTAGATGTAAAACAGAAAGAGACAGGCGCTCCCTTACAGGCGACGGAAAAGAATAACAGAGCGGCTAAAAGAGGTCAATATATCTGAAATGCGTAGGAGACACTGGTCAGAGAAATAGCAAGCATCGAACTTAAGCTAAAAGAATCCTTTAGGAGTCAGGAATCGCGGGAAGAACTAAAAGCCATAAATGAAATCGAAAGAAACCCAAAGTATTTCTTCTCCTATGCCAAATCAAAATCGAGAACAACGTCCAGTATTGGGCCCCTACTTAAAAAGATGGGTCCTACACAGATGACAACAAGGAAATGAGTGAGCTACTCAAGTCCCAATATGACTCAGTTTTTAGCAAGCCGCTAACCAGACTGAGAGTCGAAGATCAAAATGAATTTTTTATGAGAGAGCACAAAATTGATTAACACAAGCCTATCCGATGTTATCCTGACGCCAAATGACTTCGAACAGGCGATAAATGACATGCCCATGCACTCTGCCCCAGGGCCAGACTCATGGAACTCTGTGTTCATCAAGAACTGCAAGAAGCCCCTATCACGAGCCTTTTCCATCCTATGGAGAGGGAGCATGGACACGGGGGTCGTCCCACAGTTACTAAAAACAACAGACATAGCCCCACTCCACAAAGGGGCAGTAAAGCAACAGCAAAGAACTACAGACCAATAGCACTAACATCCCATATCATAAAAATCTTTGAAAGGGTCCTAAGAAGCAAGATCACCACGCATCTAGAAACCCATCAGTTACACAACCCAGGGCAACATGGGTTTAGAACAGGTCGCTCCTGTCTGTCTCAACTATTGGACCACTACGACAAGGTCCTAAATGCACTAGAAGACAAAAAGAATGCAGATGTAATATATACAGACTTTGCAAAAGCCTTCGACAAGTGTGACCATGGCGTAATAGCGCACAAAATGCGTGCTAAAGGAATAACAGGAAAAGTCGGTCGATGGATCTATAATTTCCTCACTAACAGAACACAGAGAGTAGTCGTCAACAGAGTAAAGTCCGAGGCAGCTACGGTGAAAAGCTCTGTTCCACAGGCACAGTACTCGCTCCCATCTTGTTCCTCATCCTTATATCCGACATAGACAAGGATGTCAGCCACAGCACCGTGTCTTCCTTTGCAGATGACACCCGAATCTGCATGACAGTGTCTTCCATTGCAGACACTGCAAAGCTCCAGGCAGACATCAACCAAATCTTTCAGTGGGCTGCAGAAAACAATATGAAGTTCAACGATGAGAAATTTCAATTACTCAGATATGGTAAACATGAGGAAATTAAATCTTCATCAGAGTACAAAACAAATTCTGGCCACAAAATAGAGCGAAACACCAACGTCAAAGACCTGGGAGTGATCATGTCGGAGGATCTCACCTTCAAGGACCATAACATTGTATCAATCGCATCTGCTAGAAAAATGACAGGATGGATAATGAGAACCTTCAAAACTAGGGAGCCAAGCCCATGATGACACTCTTCAGGTCACTTGTTCTATCTA